TGTTTATATATTTATTTTGTTTTTGGTAATTTGTGCCTTCTGGCGACAGTGGATTTTCCGCTTTTGTGACTCCTGAGCCGTCATGCCAAATGAATAAAATAAATCAAGCCTTCCAAACACCATTGACTGTATTGTATACAGGCGCATGTTTCAGCGTAATCATTTTTCTCCGGCGACTGATGCGAAGATTGGAGTGTGTCTGGTGTTTGTTTGATAAGTTAGACCCTTTTTATTGCTCTTTTTACTTCATGAAATATATGAATGGAAAGCTTATGATTAGTAGATTCTGATCATGTAAATATAATTAGGTTTGCAGTTATAGTTTTGCTTCCCTCAAAATTCACATGTTACAGTGAAATGAATGCAAGCGTTCGCCAGTTCACTACGTAGGCCCACATCACGCGCTGAACTTGCACAGGAAACCTTCGAATGGTGCGCCCTAGAATGCAAGAATTAATCTGTTCTCTTAGGTGCTATTTTTGGCTCTTACAAATTCGTATAGAAGGGTTCGAGAGGGGTTCCCCCTCCCAAGTGAGATTTTTTTAAGAATAGGAACTTCTGGATGGCTAGAAATGACACTCTCAGACTGTGACAGACGAGCTCTATCAAATGGGGGTCTTGGCCTGTCTGGTGGGGGGACTTGCCCCTGTTATTCCTTTGTTTTCCCTGGTCATTCGGTCCACATGTTTAAGTGCTGCTGCCATATTGGTGAAGTAGCAGGTAACTCCACCCCATTTATACTACTGGGTGGAAAGAAGCAATTCAAATAAAGTGCCTTGCTCAAGGACACAAGCAAAATGCATATAGAGGGATTGAAAGCCCGACCTCAAGGTTGGGAAACCAAATCGTTCCCATTGTACCTCACCCCTTTTTTCATACATGCACCAAATATCCCCTTTATCACTTGTACTAGTAAGTATTAGGATGATTTCAGCATGTTCATATTAAGCACAGTATTAACATTATGACAAAGATTTCTGTTGTAATGGGTTGAGTCATTCTGATTGATGACAAAGTATGTTGGTATTGTTTGGTTTCCTGCCGGTTTACATGGCTAGAAGACTGGTACATCTTTATTTTCAGATCATGTTTTCAAGTATTCTGAACTTGTTGCTTCATAGCTGTTTTCTTTATTTAAAAAAACACACATGGGCATCATTGACTGTTGCCCCCTTTGCATTATTAGATATTATTTTAAAATTATTTTCATTATTATTTTGGCAAATTTGCAAGAAAGCGGCCACAGGCTGAGTCTAAATTTTGATATATGATACAAAAATGTATAATACAAAACCCTCTGAAACACCCTTTTCGAATACAGTACCACTTACTCGTACAAAATTTAATCTCCCCAACCTGCTTTGAAAGTCGATTGTACAAATCTCTGAAATGACAAAAATTCAAACTCTCCTCTCTACAAAAAGTTTTCCACTAGCTGCATCATATCATACATTAGCTCTTTATTCAGTAATTACCTCTCCCTTCACCCACTTCAGATGTGTATAAGAGACAGGGTTTTTATAGATCAATGAGAAGATGATTTTAAAGACCATTCAGAAGGCGAATATTGGGAGCACCCGGATGGTTGTTACTATAATCATGGTTTAAATCTATTTATTCCTCCATGGGCTAATCATTCTTATTTTGATTGCAGCATTGGTAGATTTTTCTTCAATTTAAAAAAACTTTTTGTGATATGACTTCATGGTAAGTAAGGACATACGACTGTCTCTTATACACATCTAGATGTGTATAAGAGACAGCGATCGCAATCAACAAACGCATTCAGA